AGTGATGTATCCAGCTCTGTTTTTGAATTTATGGTCTGTGCTCAAACATTTGAAAGTGCATGATGTAAATCATATCCACTTCATAAAAGAGGAGCAGACAAACATAATAACTTCTTCATATCACAGTGTTTTCTTGACAGTAGGTGATATGCACCCATCGAGCTGGAGAAATAACATATTTTCTGTCTTTAAAATGTCATTATCACAGTCCAGTGATGTACAAAAGCTAAAGGTTTCGTTCAGTCATGTGGGAGACAAAACAACTGCTACCATCATTACAGAACACAGTTTGTTTCTCTTTATTACCTTCTAACAGAGGTCAAACACATTTTGTCTTCTTTTCTCAAAGCTGCTTTTATAAAAAATGTTTTTTTTTTCATATCTGTTAAACTGTCACCATATCGTGACAGTACGTATATCAGACAGATTATCTGTGAAAAGATCGACCTGCTCCACCTCCTCCCTGAGCTGCTATAGACGTCTGAATAAATGTAGCGCTCCAGACCAAAAACAACCAATCAGAGCCAGGAGGAGGGCCTTAATGCTGTCAATCAACATGGTGTACGTGTTGCTAAATGTAACGGCAGAAAAACAACTTACTAGTACAGGAAAGCCATCATCGGTGGCTACGCTAACTAGCTTGAGCATTCACAGCGGGTTCTGCTTCATGCAGCATAGCAGAGAGCAGGGAGGGAGATGAAAAGGGGGCACATGGAGCCTGATTGACAGCGCTAAGGCCCGCCCCCAGCTCTGATTGGCTGTTTCTAGTCAGCATTGGAAGCACTTCTTTCACTGATTATCCGTCTCATGCCAGACTTATTATGACATAGTGACAGTTTCAACAAATATGTAAAAAAAAAAATGTTTTATAAAAGTTGCGTACTGCAGCTTTAAGGTAAAAACAAAATATTTATTTGCTTTTTATGCAAAACAGTTAAAAAGCTATTTCCCTTCTGCTAAAGTTTGAACCCATTAACTTTATTTCCTCAGGCGTTTGATGCGTTCATCTACATCTTCTTTGCCATGGAGATGGTGATCAAGATGGTCGCTCTGGGAATCTTCGGACGGCGCTGTTACCTTGGAGACACGTGGAACCGCCTGGATTTCTTCATCGTCATGGCAGGGTCAGAACCTCCTGTTCCAATTGTTTGACCCTCCTCTAGGCAGAGTGACACACCCTGACGGGTGTAGTGAAAAATTCACAGAGTGGCACAGAAACATATGCAGCATATTAAAATTAGATGCAGAACATAGAACATATAGACCAAAATATAGCTGAATAATTTAAAGTTGTGTAGCTTAAACGTTAAACATTACGCCATACTGCAAACGTTCAGAATCGTAACCACAGCTTGGCAGTGCAGCACGTTTAAATCGTTTCAAAGTTCAAATGTAACCATGACTTATGGTGGCTCTATTTAAAGACTTGGCCCTTAAATCGCTTTTTTCGTCTCAAACTGCTTTGTCTTCCTGACACGCTCCTTTGCGCTCTCATGCATGGCTGATCATCCCATTGTTAAATATATATGGTAGCGTTAAATATTAATATGTTGATAGTTGCCGGCTTTCACCTGGGACAGCGCCTCTAATAATGCGGTGATGATGCGGCTAATCACCGTAAAATAATTCAATGAATCAGCTGGAATGAGCCTGAAATAAATACTGCATCACATTCCTGCTGCTGCTTGCGAAAGGAAACTCGGTCACGTCTCTTACTGCTGGAATGATGTTTTTATGAGGGGTTTTTAAACATTTCACAGACAAATGTTTTCTGTATATTGGATCATTTTTGTTTGATAATGACATTTGTTTAAAGATCTGAAAAACAGTTACTGGAAAAGCAGAAGATGCCTCTCAGGGAGTGAATACTTTTCACAGCAAATCTATCATTGAATGTTTGACAGCTTCAGTTTTTTTTTAAAAAAAGAGATTTGTTCATTTTTTCTGAGCTTATATGGATCAGAGCCATATTTTCTAGTCTCTTCTTCTTTCTCGCTGCCTGTAATAATACTTAGAGCATCTATCATCTGCAGTAATTTACTCCAACTGCATCAGGCTTCTTTGATGTTTTTATTTTTTTTTACTTTAGTTTTATATTATTAGTAATAAATACATTCTGAGATTTAGCAAATGTTTATAAAATAAACAAAAAAAAAAACAAAAAGAAACTGACATCATGTGTAAGAACTGACATGACCCCAAATCGAACAAATGAATTCTACCATGCAGAACGCCGTAGAGCTTCTGTCTTAGGCAAAAGGTCACTAGTTGGGTTTAGTACTAAAATTGCGCAAATTAGAATAACGGAAATAAATTTGCTTAATGGAAATATTCCAAATTTTGAAGTTTTTCAGTGAAAGGTTTTTTTGCGCTTGGATGATGTGGTTTGTTTTTCTTAATCCATATTTAAACACTTTTTTTGCATCGCATGAGTTACGTGACCAACAGCCGTATTTTACTTCTGGCCAAAACCACAAAGAAGACAACAGGAAGTGGTAGGAGGATGATGGTTTGACTCTGGTTGTTTTTTTTGTTTTTTTTATGACAACATATTGAATCAACAGCTCTTTTGTAAAATGGCCGACTACAATTTCCCCAAAACACGGCGTATGTAGCCGCTACCAAGTAGGCGGGGTTTGTCACTCCAACACCTGAATCAGATGCCGACGTCTCCTCTGATTGGCTGATAGAGGATGAGAGCTAGCACCATGTCTGAATTCTGAATATATCTCATGTAACTGTTTACATCCACCGCTGCCATGATTTATAATGACTTATCGCATGAGCAAGCTTATTCATGTGTGACTTTAAGTTCATTACTTATGAATTTGTGTTTTATTGGCATTAGCAGAACATAGACAGAAATTTGCCAACATTTGTAATGGAAACACAACCACTGTCAAAATGTGATGCAAACCTGTGTGTAGTCGGTCCGATAGATAAAACTGGACCAATAGGGAAACATTTATACTATATCTGTAAATATCAGTTGCCGGCCATATTAGCAATATTAATATTGGATATCGATATTGGCCCAAATTTTCATGTAGGTGCATCCCTAGTAAAAATTTCAACATGGTTCCTACCATTAGTTGCTGGATTCAAAGTCAACCAAAGGGAAAGGATCTTACTGACTTACCAAAGAATACTGAGACTGTAGATTTTTAAAACATCACTTTCCAACGTATTGCATACAAAACACTGAAGTTCCACAGAGTAACTGGAGTTATTAAATGAGCTCTCTTTATGAATCCCAATCATTTATGTGACTCCTTTTCTGCTATTCACATATGTAGGAAGTTACCTGTGAGCTCCTGCCAGAGGCATTTGTCCAGTTACAGGTCATTAGCATACAGGGAGAACATCAGGGTGTGGAAACCTGTCCAGTTACAGGTCATTAAACTTCTTGACTCCTGCTCAGGTCACATGTTCTGTCCAAAAACTCTGTGATTTGGTGTCAAACTTTTGTTCCATCGGCTGACACCGCCGACAGTCTCAGCAGACAGCCTTTGTCCTCCTCGGGTTTATTTCCGTTAATATATTCATAGAATAATTTCAAAGAAAGACAAAAGGCAGCTCAACTTCTAATCTCAGTCCTGTGGGATGCTAAAATTCATTCCTAAAAGCTAAAGTTTAACGTGTTCTTTCATATGTTTCTGCAGGAACATGTCTCTGCTCTTTACCAGGATCTATTTTTACAAGTAAATACCCCTCATTTGTTATCAGTCAAGAAACTCACATTCTGAAGCAGAAACATCTTGTTTAAAAATGTCAAAGCTTGTGGCAGTGACATGAGTCGAGAGAAATGCAAAAAATTATTTCGAAAAAGAGTCAAAAGATTCTCTGAAGTCTGAAGAAATCATGACGCTTTCCACCAAAACTGCTGTAGCAGATCCTACATCCTCAAGTCCTAAAGACCAACATCTAGTCTTTGAGGCTCTGCAATAAGTTTAATTTTTTTATGAAGGCTTGATTTAAAGATTGCAAACAGAGGTAGATGAACACACTGACATAGAGGTGACTAAACTGGTTTTAAGATCAATTTCATCTCTAACGCTTTGTGAACTTGAGAGCTTGTTTGCAAAGATGAATGGACAAACTTCTGTGTCTGTAGAGACAAAACTCAAAGACTTACAGCTGTCTCTGCAGCGAAAGATGATATTTTTTTCTTATTTTTAACAAAAAGGCTATACAAATATATTTTTCACATAAGATGTAAAGAAAATACATTCAAGTTTGGCTGTAACACAACATCCAGGATGTGTTTATTACATTTTTCCTGGTTTTCCTTTTTCCTCTAAATCCTCCTCTTTATTCCTCATCTCTTCTTTTTCATTCAAAATGGAGGTAGGTTTTTTCTCCCACTGTCATTAATGTGGTTTTCTCTTGACTTTCTGGCTTTTATCTCTCAGTGGCACAAAGTTTCAGCCCTAAGGCCTGAGGAGCTTTTGCATAATGTTTGATCTAATCCCTTTTTCCCTCTGATTCCAAAAAATGTTCAGCTCTTATATCTTTCCTTATCCTGCTGCTCCTTCTCTCTCTCTCTCTCCCTTGGTCACCATCTCTTAAGTATTAAGCGCTAAGTGGAGACCTTTTCTCTCATCTTTGGGCCAAATCCCGATGCTTAGCGTGTGCATGGCAGAGGGATTCCACTGCCATTCCCCGATTACGCTCTCATATCACACCGGCCGCATGCAGAGTGTGTAGCGACGTGGGAAAACGCCACGTCCCCGCAGGGAAGTGCGTATTGCAAACCCAAACCGAACCGTAAGCAATCTGCAGGAAGGAGTCGACAAGCAGCGGGAGTTTAGCTTGGATTGCTCAGATTGAAGCCACGCGTGGTTAAAAATGAAATCTGATGATTTTTAGAACTTGGCTGAGAGTGGAGGAGGCGGCTGGCCAACCTGAAACCAAACGCTTCCTTTCGTACAACATCTGACAACTACGTTATACAAGATGCATCATGACTGACATGTTTCCAAAGGGTGAACACGAACATACTTGGTTGTTGCTGTGCAGTTGGGCTGCAACTAATTAGTAATTGATTATTCTATCAGTTATTTGAATTTTGGAACATTCAG